AGTTTTTCAATCCAGTAGTTTTTCAATCATTTTACTTAAATATGATCTGCATTTACATATGAAGCAATCAAATGGAACATTTAAACCCTTTATAATTATAATTTAAATGAAAAGTTATAAATTCGGTGGATGGATGTATGTTTAAGAAAATGGATTTGGAAATAAATGGTTAACAGGACGCCGAGAGGTATCAAATGGAGGTCGACCAACAGACTACAGGATCTTGTGCATACAGACGATATCTGTCTCTAAGCTCATACATATGTGAACATACAGACCAAAATAAATATCCTAGATAGGGAAACTGCAAGAGTCGGTCTCAAGATCAACACCAGAGCAAGAATAGCCGGATATATCCTGTATGGAAGTTGTCCACTTGGCAAAGGCCACCAAGATCAGAATATTCAACGCCTGTGTAATGCTTGCCTGTGTATCAGCAGATATTTAAGAATAATATGTAGGATATTCTGGCCTAGAACAATAACAAACAATGAACTATAATCGATTACGGACTAGAAGCTTATTAACGTAGTTGCAAAAGCAAAAAAATGAAGATAGCTGGGACACATGTTAAGAAAACTGAATAATACGATAGCCAGGCAGGATTAGGTTAGAGCCCTCTGAGAAAAAGGAAGGTGACTAGAGCCCGTAACGAACAACCCTTAAGGAGGGCGAATTAAATGAAAAATGCTGGTAAGAAATAAAATATGACCCAAAATACAGTGAAATTCAGAGAATTAGTTGAAGTCCTATTTTCACACCGGGAATGAACAAAGGAAAAAAAATAAGAAAACTTTTTGATATGCAACCCCGTTAAACTATTTAGTAAATTTCTTTAAATTTCATAATTCTTTAAAAATCAACAAAAAATATATCTTTAAAAAAATGAAATTTTCTTTATGTAGGTACTTATAATGAGTACTATTTTGAATTTCCGATTCATGCATCAAATTTATTGATCCATGAATATAAAATTAAATATTGCACTCTAAAAGTGATTTATCGTTTTTCTTATTTCTCCTTAAATTTTGTATAACAGAAAAAACTACTGTTTTCTCACATAAATATTAAAACTACATACTTTTATTTTCATTTTATACATGTACTTATAATAAAAACCTTAAATCTCTTTAATAACCTGTCAATTATTTAAACTACGAAACTATACAAAAATATAAAGAAAATTTCGTGTAAAATATAATAGTTATGTTGTGACAATAAAATTGGATAATAATAAAGGTTTTTAAAACAAAAAATCTCATAATCATGACGGTAAAAAATTGTAACTTTGGAAGAGCTATTTTCATGACTGAAAAACTTAGGAAAATTATTTTGCCTTTTTTTTTTTGAATTTTGTCTGGCGTTTTTCTGTTATTTTGTTTTTATAATCATTTTTAACGTTCATTGAACAACTTTTACTTTTCTTTTTAGGTATAGAAGAGCACACATCTAAACCGCTGTTATTCATAAAATTTAGAAGATAAAATGTGGATTTAAATGACTGTCAACATGCATAGTAATAAAGTATTACTAAGCAATTACAAAACTGATGCAGAGAAACAATATGAATGGTATAAGCGCCACTTTATCATTAAATGTTTTTCGATTGTAATTAAGCATATGCATTAGCATAAGAATTTTTGAAATATTGAAATATTGTATGTTCATCATTGATTCAAAATTTGTCGTGTACACAGACATATTGAAAACGAACACTAAACACTCAGTGTCCTTTATATCAAGGACAATAAATCAGGTACGAACACGTAACAATCTAAATCTATCATATTTTAAAAGTTTTTCCTGATAACTTTTATGCACAAACTTTTCAAAACTTATTTTGAACTGTAGAGTAAACAACAAATGAAAAAAAAAAAAATGCCCTTGATCAAATTAACAAACAAATCACAATATATGCTTTAACAATCAATGACACTTTCAAACGACCAATTCCCACGGCATGCAACATAAAATCACACCGTTTTGTTAGATACATTTTGTCTCCCTCTTTTTATTAGATTATTGCTACAGTCTTAAACTTTCGCTTTTTCTTTCGTAATATATTGTACATATGTATACACAATTTATTCTACCATAAACTTTTGATATAGAAAAATAAAATCAAAATAAAAAAAAATTAGAAGGCCACGATGACTTAAACATTTGTACATTTGAATCATATATGCATATGTACTCGTATGTAATAGAGAAAATGAAAAAAAAAATATCTTTTAAATCAAAAAGTCGTAGATTTTTTACCATTACTTTTTGTAGCAGATTAGCACCACTCACTCAATTCGCATTACATATGTAGATAATTTTATAAAGGGAATTGGAGAATAAAACAGTACGACCATACATATATGTACATATATAAGAACATGCATATATATTTCGATTATATTGCCAACATTGCGATAAAATAAACGCAAGTTCATGTTTTACACAGAGATTAACTGTTTAGGTATAACTACCTAATTTTGCTGTTGAAAATCCTCTGTGAATAATATTAGTTCACATGAATAGAATCTATATTGTAAATAGATGGTCAGTGAATTCATAGTTAAGAAATCAAATCAAGTAAAAGAAAAATCATGTTGGTAATCGATTTTTGTTTGTTAATTTTAGCACTTTAAAGATAATCTCACACACAGTCGAAATATTTTATGAACATGTGGAAGGAGTGATTTTGTTCTTTTAAACATTCTAATTACAAAAAATTACAAGTTTTTCGTAATTAAAAACCCCATTCCTTTATGTAAAGCCGAAGAAAATATTATTTCAGAGAATCTACATATGTATATTTCGAAGAAGAATTTGTGGTAAATATGTATTTTTTTTAATACGTAATTTATTAGCTTCACTATATATAGCAAAATTTATTTACATATATATTTATAAAATAATATAAATATATATACATATATATATTTGTGTTATTTTATTGATAGAATAAATTTCCAAATAAATAAGAAAGAAAAAAAAAATCCATTTAATGCGACCTTTTCTAATCAATGTTACAAATAAGCTCAAGCAAAAAAAAAAATAATAAAGCCAAATTCAAGAACTTTGGCAAAATTATAAAAGAAATAAAATATTTTTCTTTAATTTTAATTCTTTAATTCAATGGAAATTTAGTCTCCGTCAACAAAATATTTAGTTAGTTAGTTATTTTTGCTAATAAGCAAAAGGATAGGCGGCATAACGAAGCGCCCACAATACACCCGTTAGCAAACCTTTTGTAACATATTATCGCCTACTAAAATAATTTGAATCACTTAATAAATATCCATCACAAACGCTCTCTACGAGTTTCTAAAATAGAATTCCTCTTCTTCTCTAAGATCATTTGCGCCCATAAAGAAGCTGTCGAAAACTCCAGTTAAAATAGAAGTCAAGTTTAAGTTTGACTTTTTTAAATAATATCAAAAGTTTATTATCTTCACCATATAAAATTAAATTCTTAATAAAATATAAATTTGTGCATACGGTTTTAATATCGTAAGTTATTTTAATATCGTAAGTTTATTAAAATATTCTCTTTTACAATTCACACATTTTTAAAATTTTATTGCGTTCTCACATTAAACATATTATTTAAAAATTCCGTTATCAATTAAGTCGAGTTGAGTCCAATCAATTTTTTGTCCAATTTACAGTAGAGTGAAATTTGAGAAGAATTCAAAAACGAAAGACATTAAAATACTCATACATATATGTACATGTTAGAAAGCTGCTATATAAATTCTACCTAACATAGCCTGGCTACACATTCTACCCATTTTGTCAATTAGAAGACGAAAATAGTAATAAATATAAAAATATTTTTATTCTTAATTGATTTCTTTAACGTATTTTGGATTTTATTTATAGGTATTTTATTTATATTTGAATATTGAAAAATGATGTATTTAATCATTAATTTTATGTCGGATGACAATATTCATGGGTATACAAATAAATTGATCAATTTTATTATTTGGCAAAAAAAAAAGAAACAATATACCAAAGACTTTCACAAAAATTTCCTTTTACTTTGACATCTATAAACACACACCAATGCATTCACATACTGAATTAGGAATATTTAGGTATTATGCCAAATGTATTGTAGTTATTAGCCAAATATTATGCTAAATTCGTTTTCAAACCATAAAATTCAATAATACAAAGGATAATCAGCTACATAAGAAAAATGTAATTTTTAAACTTATTAAAATTTTATTTTTGGTTTTACTTATAATTTATTAGTCTATTGTACTATTCACGAAAAAATTTAAAACTACAATTAAATTTCAAGTTTCGCATTAAATAAATTTTAAAAATTTTATCAGAACAGTGAGTCAGATAAGTGACTAGTGACAGTTGAAAATGGTACGTGAGAACTAAAATATGTGTGTTATAACATAAATTTGAAAATTGCATACTTTTAGGCATCAAAATGGAAAACATTTTTTTGTGCATAAACATAACACATTTGATTTCATTATTACTAAAAAAAATAAATTTGTTTATCATTAGGGAAAACAGCCGAAATCAACTCAATAAAAAATTCAAACTTTAAATTTTACGTTTATATGACAATGTAAGCTACATCTTTTCACACTTTTATTCACATAATTAATAATGTGAAGTATAACCAATAATGCAAGAATATAAATATGAAAGGTTCGAAAATTAAAAACAAAATAACTAAATAAAATTATACAGTTTTGGTTTACCAACCCACAGAATTGGCAATAATTAAATTTTTATTTGATCAGAGAATAACGGAATAGAACTGCTTAGAAAAATTTCTAAAGACTTTTTATTTATGATAGAGAGCACAAAAATTAAAAAAAAATTAATTAGGTACCCATTAAAAGAAAAAAACAAAACCATTTAATTTTGTAAAGGGAAAGAAAGGAACCTAAAACTAAGTAACGAAACTCAATGAAAAAAATGATTATTATTAATGCAGATAATTTAAAATAAAAGAAAAAAAAAACAAAAACACTTACCTTAAGTGACATTTTAACAGTTTTAAGTTTTCCAATTCACTTTTTTTCTCACTTCTCTTTCTCTTCTTTTTATTTATTTTCTTTTATAATTCAGTAAAAATCTTTTTTTTTTATTATTTTGATATTTTCTTTTGTTTTATTCCCGTTATATTGTTATATACTAATAAAATGCATATATTATAATGTTATACTATATAGTATTATGCATGTATAGTTAGTTGTGCACACCTATTCAACAGGTTATAAAGATTAATGTATAAGAATATTCAAAGAAAATATAAAAGACAACAAAAATGAAAAAAAAACTTTTAAGAAACCGGCGGCAGCATCAGAATAACAAAACACTGGTAACAACAACAATATACTAAATAAAATATACGATGGCGATCAGCTGTTAATCAAAACAAACAATAATATTAACTTTAAATACAATAATAATAACAAAACAAAATTATATATAAATATTTCACTATGTTAAGTATATATGTATACACAATTATTATATAATCGCTTCGTCACGAGTTGATTTCAAGTCTTGGAAAAGTATTTTACTTTTTGACTACGATTTAAAAAAAATTTTATTTTAGAATTGTAGAACTTTTCTTTTGTCACTTTGTTCTTTTTTATTCGAATAAGTTAAATAATTTTAAATCACTGATTTTATGGGAAATATGAGCTATTCTGTATTTTATATTGCAAATTACTTATTCACTATTTTTTATTCACTTGTAATTATTCGTAATTTAAAATTAAGAACTGTTAATTTTCAATAAAAATATTTAATAACTTTTTGTAAAATTCAAATAAATTTATTTTTATTTATTTTGAGAATGTTTTTGCACCAATCACAAATTGATATAATATTGCTATTATTATTTTGCTCTCACTATTATTTTTTAGATTTCTGCTACAATAATTATAAATTTATATTGCAATGTCTATTGTAAATTTGTCGAATTTTAAATACAATTGTGCTATCATGTCGGAATATCTGAAAATATAAAAGAAAAATTATTATATTGTTATATGAATTTCTTATGTTAATAATGTTAATTTAAGAAATATTTCGTAAAAACAAAAATTCTGATCTTAAGGATTGATAATTTCGAGCTTTTGGATTAAAAAACCTAGCACGAAATCTCCTAATTTCTGCTTTAAATCCAAAAATATCAAAAATAATCTATTAGTAGTGTCTCACGCCATTTGTAGTCTCGGAATTCCTATAATTGTTTTGTGGAAATTTTGCATTTCATAATAGAAAAATTAATTTGGTATTATGAAAATCAAATTTAATTAAACATATTATAATGAAGCATATTAAATATATTTTAATTGTTAAAATTTTTAATTTATTAATTGCTTTCATTTATTCTAGAACAAGCGGAATAATTCAACAAGAAGAAGAATAATGTAAAACTACAACACTGAGGAAAAATAACAAATTGATGTTTTATTTTAATAATTAAAAATTTAAAGTTATTTCATAATCAATACATCTGTACAAAATAGGTCAAAACAGAAGTCAAAGTGCGTATACATGTAAAACCTATTGAATATAAGGTCAGCATACAATATAACATAAGTTATGAGGAGAAACAAAATTTTCAATTATTCCTTGTATTTAAAAAAAAAATATTTTAATTTTCAATTTACAGGAAATTAAATAAATTTTTATTTATAAATTTTAAAATGAACAATGCAAATTATTGCAATTCATTGTAAATTTTTATATTATTCACCCAATATAATAAGAGTAGGATGTACGAGTATATATATCTTTATATTTAGATTATCCGTATAATATAAAAATTCATTAATGTTGAGCTCCCCTACAATACAAATTTGCAAAAATTCATAAATACATGTATTTATGAATTTAAACCTTCATAAACATTTTTGAAAATTTTATGAAAGTTGTTCTGCACACAAAAATGAAATTCATATAAGTATGTATTATAATGTCTCTTGGTTCTACATTAAATTTAAAACCTAGTACTTCTCCATAAAGGGCACATCACACAATCCCCTACAATCTTACAATTTTAAATTATTATTAGAATTTTTTATATCAATATGTTTTATTGTGTAGACATATACCAAAAGCAAATATTTAAGCAGCTTATTTATTTTAATACATTAATTCTTATTATATTTTTAACTATTTTTACATATGTATCTAAATAAATATACTTATGTGTTAATTTCATATGAGTAAAGTTATTTAATATAAGTAAACTTAAATTGTTTAAATATTGAAATATAAAATTTACAATGATATTCGATTTAAGGTCACTAACTTAATAAGTACTCTGAACATTGCCAAATCTATTTATTAAATTGTATTTTTAAAAAAAATTCGAATATGTATTCGGATTACCAAAAATAAATAACGTCATTTATATAAAGAATTAAAGATTCTACTCCCATAAAAGTATAAAATAGTTTCCAAAAACTTTCAAATCAATTTAAAAACAAATTCTTAAAATATGTATACATACATTGAACTTAATTAATTTTCCTGTTTATAATTTTACGATTCTTTTACCAATTTTATTTTATTTTTAATTAAGATTTTGATTAAGACACTCACGTTCCTTTATAATTCTAGTATTTTGTTTTTTTTTTTTTTTATAGAATATCGATTAACAAAGCTTTTATGCTAATTTTTTTTTATTTTTTTAAATTTATACTAAAATTATAATTGACTGATTAAAAAAATTGCTAGGTACATATGTTGGAAATAAAACGATAAATTGTAAAGCGACCGATTTATACTGCGGTCATGATCATATTAAAATCTTCTACATTTAATTTTAAATTACACAAATTTGAAGGTAGGAGAAAAGAGATTATTATCCTATATAAACTTGAAGCGAGTGAAAAAAATTTATATAAGAAAGAGAATGCGCGGTTGAATCATATTCGAATGTGACATGTAGTCAGTTTAATACCCCAAACTACTCCAGAAGTAATGGAACGCTGCGTTTTATATATAGTAAAAAATGAATGTCAAAATAAAAAAAACGAATTTAAAATTGACGTTTATATTTCTTATATGTATACACTCTTCTATACTATTTTTTTTTTATATATATCTAGACATGATGTAATTAGAAGTGTTATACACATAAAGTGTTATACACATAAAGCGTTATACACATAAAGTGTTATACACATAAAGTGTTATACACATAAAGTGTTATACACATAAAGTGTTATACACATAAAGTGTTATACACCTAAAGTGTTATATACTAAAGTGTTATACATCTTAAGTGTTATACTCCTAAATTCACTATACTCAAGGAACACTTTCACTTAATATCAAACTATTTTCCGTTCTTTTTTTATCAGTCAATTTTATTAACGGCTTATATCGAGTGACTACAGTATATTTCCTAATTTAGAACTATTGAAATTTGGAAATGATGATAATATATTTGTTACCTTATACTATAAATTAATTTGCTTTGTATTCAAAGTGGTTTTATAAACTGAAAACACATAACCAAGGCGTGATAGACGTAATATACGCAGGTACATGTATAATGTATGTTTTATAAAAAAAATTTTAATCAAAAAAACTAGTTTATTAAAATATTCTGTATTATTGAAATTAAAATCATTAATAAATTTACATATATCATTAAAATAAAAACTTTTCTAGCATTTTTTTTTATAAATATGAGCATAGATATTTCATAATCATTTTATAAAATGTCCTAATTATCAGAAATTCTAATGATAACTTTATTTGATCTATATATATTAAGTATAACAAAAGCATATATAGATATATATATACATACACAATAAATTAATGTAAAATATATTATATAACACAATATAAAAAATTTATTTTTGTCACAATTTCATAAAACTTTTACACAATTAAATTTAGAACACAAAATTATAAAAAATCAAAATCTTCTATAAGTTTTCTAATATTTGGCATAAGTTCTATATAAAATAATAATTATAGCAAATAAAAAAATAAAAAACAAAAAATCGAAAAAAAAACATTTCCAATACAGAACGGCAGCGTATAGTTCGAATTTTCTTCTAAAAAAACCAAACAAAAAATTTTTTTTTTCAAGGGCAATTAAATTTTATATCGAAATAAATATGTTTATAATCTTAAAAACAACAAAATACTGAAAAATTGCCGGAATAACTATAAAAGATTAAAAAATTACATAGTTTCTTAAAATTTTCTTTTTTTTCTTGCGTATTTTGTATATTTGTGTGATTAATTTAATTAAAGGTATAATCATCATTTAATGAACTTCATACCCGAGAAAATTTATGTTTAACATTAAGCAGAACAGTTTAAATTTATCGTATTTAATAAATTCTACGGTAAAGCATTTGATTACATTTCCAATTAAATTTTCTTTTTGAAGTAAAAAGCGGAAGCTCATTATTTTAAAATATTTTTATATATCGGAAACGTCGTTCCACACACACAGTCTTCAGTGTATACGTATTTTTCTTTATGAGTGTAATATAATATAGTTTACTGTTACATCTGTTTAATGGTGTATATACATATGTCATAATTACTTATACAATAATTAGATTAAAGTTTAAAATCTTAAAATTATTACAATTACTATTTTCAAATGAGTTTATTTAAATTTGATTTTTAGTGATCAGAAACATTTCTATTATTAATATGATTAAACTTTATAAAATAGTAGGTAGGTACCCATTTATGAATCGTTTATCATACCTTAAAATACTTCATATTAAAAATATTTTTCTCAAATTCAATTTAATAAAAGAACATTTTTAGTTGATTTATTCATATTAATAATTTTTTAACCTCAGATTTTCCATTAAATATAATACACACATATATATACTCTATACTTAGTCATGAAAATAAAATCTGACCATTAAAGTAATTTGAACTTTCTATATACAAACACTCAACGTTAAAAATTTGAAAAATTTAAAAAAATATTTGCATCCTACACTATTTAAGAAAATATTTTAATGAACTAGCTATTCTTATTTTCATAATAATGCAGCAGTTCAGAATTTTATGCACATAATAACTACATATACATATTATATATTGTATAAAATTTTACAAAAGTACAATGTTCTTACAATTACAAATCTTTTTATCTATATTTCATAATATACTGTATGGGATTTTATTTTTTAAATAATACAATGAACCTGAATTCTTTTCTACTCCTATAACGTGGGAGTAAATAATAATATTTTTTATAGAATTTTTTCTTATATTTTTAATTTTATTAAATTAAAAATTATATAAGTATAATATGACTTATTTATAATATATAAGTATATGAAAAAGGGTAAATATTACTATATAAAAAATATTTTAATTGATTTCGCTTTGTATTTAATTTGTTCTATTTATTTCACAGAAATCGAGTTCCACATCATAATTAAAAGTAGTTTACCACTATTCAAAAACATTTTACTAGAGATTGTAGGTAATGTGTATCTAATTTGAAAATTAATTTAAAATATACTGCTATTTTATACTTTAAGTTGTAATCATCTTCATAAT